AAAAATGCAAAAGTTTTCATACAGATTATGTGTTTTTTTTCACAATCAGTGCTTCGAAATTGGAAATTGGCAATGAAAAACCACTGATTATAAGCGATTGAATTTGATTATCATTTGCAATGAAAAATTACTACAATCGATTATGAGTTATTCTAATAAGTTTTTCTCAAAATTAATAAATTCGATCGTTCAATCTGAATACATAATCGATTATTAACTTTTCAGAGTGGATGGCGTTGAGAAAACCTAATGCTAGACAGTCTTTGATAACTAATTAAAAATTGCTCAAAAAAACTCTGGCGTAAGTTATAAGATAAACAGCTTTTAAGATAAGAAGGATTTAAGAAATTGACCTAGAGCATCGACAGATCTCGTGGTAAATTTAGTTTAAAAAAGTAATACGCATTGGTCTGGCTGTGAGAACGGCCTTTGATGATTCAGAAAAAAAACTAGAAAAAAGATTGAAGTTTGAAGTTTCTTCAATACATTTTTTCTCGTAAGTTGGCGTTGATTATAGTTTTTTTTTGAAAAAGTGTTCAACACATCTACACCAAAGGAAACAAGGTGAGATATATCAGATTAAAAATTTACGAAATGGTTTTTTCCTTGACCGAAAATACGTAATAAAAAACTCTCAACCAATCATTTGTTATCTTGAAAAACAAAAATCTATTTGAAAAACAAAAATGAGACTTAAGAAGAAAGTTTCACCAGAAAATTGGAAATTATTGAGCGCAATTCATAATATTTTTTTATGATATGAATCAAAACCTGTTTGAATTTTGTTTCAGCTCTTATTTCTGTCTGGTTAAGTACTGGCAACCCAAATTTGTTGCTCAAGAGAAAACACCTGAATTTGATCCAAAATCCAGGGGCAAGGAAATGGAAAATTTTTATGATTGGACAAAAAACAACTTCAGACGAATCAACTGGTTCTCTTTCGATCACATGGAGACAAAACCCGGCAAGTTTTTTGAATTTGATTTTTTTAAAACCATGCATGTTGTTCTCATTACGAGGCCAATTTCTCTGTTTTGTGAATTTTAGGCGGATTCCGAAACAAGATTTTCCTTTGTTTTTTTTCTGTTATTCATTCTCGTTAAACTTTTTGACAAAATTTAACCTGTTTGAAGATTTGTCTCTCGAATCCAGGAACATAGAGGCACAAAAATGTGCGCCTATCCATTTTTTGCTAGAAAAATTTGTAGCAATAAACTTCTCCAAATATCTGGAGAGCCTTTAACTTTTTTATAAGGAGATCAAAACAAAAAACTGAGCATTTTCATATCATTATCAAATTAAGTTTATAAACTAAATTCGAGAATTCTTTTTGTTCACTTGTTTTCTACTCCAACATTTTTTTATCAATCCTGAGGTTTAAAAAACTCAAATGGTTGGCTCAAAAAAAGACAGAAAAAAGCGCTAACTTATTTTAGAACTTTTAATATATAATTTTAAAAAAATCAGCATAGCACGCCAGCAAAGATTGTTATAAAAACGCGTTTACAATCATTAACTATTAGCATGAGATATAGTCATTCTAAAATTTAATGTTCCGATTCGTTTTCAGACTTTTCAGAAGAAAAAGTTATTCTCTCAATTTCTTTACATCGATTTCATCAGTTTTGACAACAACTGAGAACTATAAAAAAGTACTAATTTTCCTGAGAACAATAAAAAAAAGGAGAAATACAAAAATAAACAGGTTGAGATAGTGAAAATTTCCTTGCTGTATAGCATGTCCACTAGATCTTCCTTGTTCAAAATGAAATTATTTGAGAAAACCGGATTGTTTCTGTTTGAGGTTGTTTTGATTATTTTCCCTGTTTAACTCCTAGCTAGAGGCGCAACTGATCAATTTCCTCATCCTTATATGCAATTAGTTTGCGGCTTTGTAATTTGAACCAGTCGTCAAACTTTCGAGCTTGTTTGTTTCGATACTTTATGTAGATCTTCTTGGCTTATTAATTATCCGCTGGGCTTTTTGGACTGTTTGAATCAATGGTGAAGATTTTGCTTAGTTGAATTTCATCAAATGTACAGAAATTATTTCCGGTGCTATTCTTAGTGAGCCGATTTTAGGTCAAAGAATGAAATTCTGTATGGTCTCTTGAGATCATAACCCAGTTGGTTCAAGACACATGTGTGCATTGATCATTTATCATTTGTTTGTGTTTTAACAATTTTCTTGTTTGACAAAAAGAAAACGCAAAAAGTTTACACTTTTTCCTGAAAATGGAAAAGTGATTAACATAAATCAAATTTTCGTCTCCTGTTTTCCTAGGTTCCTAAGTTATTTTTTGGTTACAAAATCACTTTCCTTTAAGTCAAAGTTAGATCGTTTTGATCCAAAATTTTTTTGGTTCTGAGAAATTTTAAATAAACTAAGTTGTAAGAAAAAAGTGGTCTGAAAACAATTTTAATCTGAAAGCTCGATTTGTGAGTGTTTTAGTGTTTCGTTGTCTCAAATTATGCCTCAATTTGATACTTTTTGAGTTTTCTGCACTGTTTGTATTGAAATCACCGCAAACTATTTGCGTTACATCGAAAGAAAAATTAATTAGGCTGTGGCGGATTCCTCAACTAAAAATAAAATCAGCAATATCTAAGAACATTCAACAAATTTTAAACGAAATCCGCAAGTAATCAGCGAAAGCCTCAAACAGTAAGCCCAGTCCGCATAATTTTGAGAAACCCACTTACATATGAGGAATCCGCTTACATTTGCGGAATCCCGAACAGCTACCTATAATAGCTTTTTGCGGAATCCACAACAAAACTAGTAAGACGACAAAAATTAGGTTACAGGTTTTTGAACGCGGATTCCAGCTAAATTTTTTAAAGTGGAACCCACATACACCTTGTAATATGTTTAAAAACTTGCTAACAAAATTGGTTTCAGACCTGGTCTATTTTTAAACTAAATCTATTTGATCGACTTGGAAAAAAGTTCTTTTTTACTATTACTAAAATCTTTCCAAATCCTTTTTCGAAAACCTTTTACCATTTTTTACCATCTCGAAGATAGGTTTTGACCCATACAAAATGTAGCGCGACCTTCACACAATCGGTTTCGACTTGAAAAACAAAATGAACACCAAAATTTAAGAAGATATCCAGTTTCAACCTTATGACACCTGAGTGTTTATGATGAAGTTCTTATTAGTAGCTGTATGGCCTCTTGAGGTCATTATCCAGTTGGTTCAAGACACATCTGTGCATTTATCATTTATCATTTGTTAGTGTTTTAACAAGTTTCTTGTTCGACAAAAAACCGCAAAAAGCTGAAACTTTTTCCTGAAAATGGAAAAGTGATTAACATGAATCAAATTTTTGTCTCCCGTTTTCCTAGGTGCATAATTTATTTGTGGGTTACAATATCACTTTCGTGTAACTTAAAGTTACATCGTTTTGATCCAAATTTTTTTTTGTTCGGAGAAATTTTAAATAAACTAAGTTGTAAGAAAAAAGAGTCTGAAACCAATTTCAATCTGAAAGCTCGATTTGTGGGTGTTTTTTATAGTTGTCCAAATTATGCCTCAATTCGATACTTTCTTGACTTTCCTGCACTGTTTGTGTTGAAGTCACCGCAAGCTAGTTTGTTTATGAACACATGTTAACAAAAATGTTTTTTTTTTATTCAACTTTGACCTGAAGAGATCAGATTAATGTTTTGCTCGAAATTGTTAGATTTGTTATCCGATAAATTAAAGGGTCTCTGATTTAAGTTCCCGCACCTCCGCCTCTTTTTATGACTTAAATTTACACTAGTAGCTAAATTTGTGAACGAATTCAAATTGTTCATACTTCAGTTAATATCCAGATACGCAAATTGCAATTGTTTTTTTCTTTCAAAGTTTTTTTGTCGAGGCCGACGTTTTTTGAAATTTGACTGCTTTCCACGATTGTCAATATATCGATTGTCCATTGATTTTAAAACAGAAGACAAAGATATACTTGGAGAAAAGGTTGAATTTTTCAACATAAATAATTACTTCTTCCATAGTGATAAGATTTCCTCACCGTGTCCTTTTTTATTTTCTTGTCACAATAAAAAAAACTACCATTCCTATCAATGTTAACAGTAAAAAATAATTGTTAACAACAAGGTGAAGGAACCATAACCAGAAAATCTGTCCATTTTGTGATTTGCAAGAGGGAACCGCAATAGGTCAAGTTTAGAAATGTCATGGAATCCGCATCATTGCTATTTTTCCGGTCTTCTTTGTTGTTTTACATTCCATGGACGCATAGCTAAAACACTTTAGTGTACAAAGTTGCGCCAAAAACAGTTAACATTGCTGAATGCGCAACAAAATTTTTGAAACCCGCAACAAGTTTTACTGAATCCTGCTTAGTTTGTAGAAACCATGAACAAATCCTAGTAAAAGTATTTAGCAAAATTAAGCTAGAGTGGATTTCGCAACTGTAAATAGAATCCGCAAATTGTAGGAGCAATACGAAAATTGTAAATGGAATCCGCAAGTAGCAAGCGAAAGCCGCAAACAGTAAGCCCAGTCCTTGTAATTTTGCAAAACCCATGTACATTTGAGGACTCCGCTTACATTTGCGGAATCCCGAACAGCTACCTATAGTCGCTTCTTGCGGAGTCCACGACAAAACTAGTAAGACAACAAAAGTTATGTTTTTAAACTGGAATCCACTTACACCTTGGAATATGTTTTAAGACTTGCTGACAAAATTGGTTTCAGACCTGGTCTATTTTTAAACTAAATCTATTTGATCGACTTGGAAAAAAAGTTCATTTTTACTATTACTAAAATTTTTCCAAATCCTTTTCGAAAACCATTTACCATTTTTTACTTTCTCGAAGATAGGTTTTGACCCATACAAAATGTAGCGCGACCTTCACACAATCGATTTCGACTTGAAAAACAAAATGAACACCAAAATTTAAGAAGATATCCAGTTTGAACCTTAAGACACCTGAGTGTTTATGATGAAGTTCTTATTAGTAGCTGTATGGCCTCTTGAGGTCATTATCCAGTTGGTTCAAGACACATCTGTGCATTTATCATTTATCATTTGTTAGTGTTTTAACAAGTTTCTTGTTCGACAAAAAACCGCAAAAAGCTGAAACTTTTTCCTGAAAATGGAAAAGTGATTAACATGAATCAAATTTTTGTCTCCCGTTTTCCTAGGTGCATAATTTATTTGTGGGTTACAATATCACTTTCGTGTAATTTGAAGTTACATCGTTTTGATCCAAAATTTTTTTTGTTCGGAGAAATTTTAAATAAACTAAGTTGTAAGAAAAAAGAGTCTGAAACCAATTTCAATCTGAAAGCTCGATTTGTGGGTGTTTTTTATAGTTGTCCAAATTATGCCTCAATTCGATACTTTCTTGACTTTCCTGCACTGTTTGTGTTGAAGTCACCGCAAACAATTTGCGTTACATCGAAAGAAAAAAACAATTCGTCCATATGTGTTTCCAATGTACTAAACGTTTTTAAATGAGCTAGTTTGTTTATTAACACATGTTAACAAAAACGTTTTTTTTTATTTAACTTTGACCTGAGGAGATCAGATTAATGTTTTGCTCGAAATTGTTAGATTTGTTATCCGATAATTTAAGTAGTCTCTGACTTAAGTTCCCGCACCTCCGCCTCTTTTTTATGACTTAAATTTACACTAGTAGCTAAATTTGTGAACGAATTCAAATTGTTCATACTTCAGCCAATATCCAGATACGCAAATTGCAATTGTTTTTTTTTCAAAGTTTTTTGTCGAGGTCGACGTTTTTTGAAAATTGACTGCTTTTCACGGTTGTCAATATATCGATTGTCAATTGATTTTAGAACAGAAGACAAAGATATACTTGGAGAAAAGGTTGAATTTTTCAACATGAATGATTAATTCTTCCATAGTGATACGATTTCCTCACCGTGTCATTTTTTATTTTCTTGTCACAATAAA